TGTTTTTAGAATCTGTTGTTAAACATTTACTAGCACACCACTGCACATGATGTCATTTATATCTTAAAAAAAAAAGTAATTATTTCTCTCCGTGAGCTTTTAGAATTGTTGTTCTTGGTATTCTAAAATTTCAAGAGAAGGTGCCTTGTACCACTCATTTTTCTGGGCAATTAAGAGATTGATGTCCTTAGTGGAATTTCATTGTTTCATTTCTTTGTTAATATCTTTTCCTCCATTTTCTCTTTCTGGAAAACCTTCTAGATGGATGTGGATTTCTCAGATTTTGGCTACTTTTTCCTATTTTTTCTTTTGCATTGGCTATTAATATTTTCGTTCTAATTTCTTAGAAATTCTCTTAGCATATTTTCCATGGCTTCAATTTCTTTGGGGGGAGGGCTATCATATTTAAGTTCTAAGAAGTACCCATATCTTCAAATTATCTTGGAAGAGAGGTAAATATCCTTGTAAACCTGACCAGGACTGCATCCTCACCATATGGCACTCCTGTCCCCTGACTCTTAAAGGCATGGTGCCTGGATCCTTGTTGATTAACTTTGACAATGAATTTTTATTATGTATCATCCTCTTGTCTGGGTGTTAACTTATGGAATTTGAGAAGTGACTGTGTACCGGTATGAGGGTGAATTCCATAAGAGAGCTCTGGAATAGACAAGGAAGACAAGTGATGAACTTGTCCAAAGTGTTGGGGAGGCATGGGGAGAACAGTCTAGAGAGAGCACAGGAGGTAGCCAGAAAATTCAGCATGCCTCCGAAATCCTCAAAAGGGACTGCATTCCCATAACCATGTGCGTTGGGAACTCAAATAGTTTTACTTGAAAGTAAAAGAAAATAGTAACTCCAAACTAGAAAATTTTGAGAGACTCGGGTTGCATTAGTGAGGTTGAAGTTTTTCATGTGTGTTTTCTAATTGGATCTCGGTTCGAGCTATCCGTTCTCATTGTGAATGTATCAGTTGGGATCTTAGCACTTTTCTATTTTTAATTTATTAGTTCTTTATATTAAAAAAAAAAGAATTTTATATGTGATATTTGCTACCAGTTTACTTTCCAATTTATTATTTCTCCATTTGCCATTTTGGCAAATGTTTGTTCATTTGCTTGTTTGTTTTAACACACAGCTGTTTCCAGTTTTTATGTTGTCAAGTTTTGTGTCTTTTCTGATTTTATTTAATCTTAGCCCAGGACAATCTAGACTAAACATAATAAGTAGCTCAGCTCCAGTTCCACATTTGGTGGCAAAATAATAGTGACCTCATCATCATCATCATAGCTAATATTTTTGAGCTTTTGTTTTGTGCCAGGTACTGTTCTATGCACATTACATGTATTAGCTCATTTAAATCTCCTAACAACAGAATGAGACAGATATGATTATTATTCTCATTTTGCATCCAAGGTGCACAAAGCAGAGAGGAATTAACACATCCACTCCGGGTCACTAGAAGGAGGTGGAAGAGGCAGCATTCAGAATGGGGGGTCTGCCTCTGGGCTGTCCTCCTACCCACTGTGCTCTGCCACCTCTAGAGTGACTAGCCAGACCTGGCTTTCCACTCACAATACCCCTGACTTATAACAACCACATAAGAGTGGTACCATTAGTGTGCCCATCATATGGATTAGAAAAGGGAGGCTAGAAGAGGTTAAGGATTCATCCAAGGGTGAGGAGGTTTAGAGAAACTGAGCCGGGATCTCAGCACAACTTTATCACCTTTATTCTCTACTACTTCCAGCTCCGACTGAGGCCCATTTGATCCCCTAAACCCCATTTTCTTTGTTAGTTGGTTGTAAATCTTTCAAGTACAGAAAAGTATAAAAGCAGAAGCAGACACCAAGCACAGGCAAGCAGTGATAATACTTTTTGTATATTTTCATCTAAACTTTTTCTCTGTATATTTTTAACACATCGAAACCATCTTGTACATACAATTTTGTATACTATGTTTTTCATTTATAGTATGATATAAACATTTTCTTATGTTAATAAAAGCCATCCTATATATTATCTTTTTAAATTGTATAAAAATAACATAACACAAGCTTACCATTTTGACCTTATACATTATTTTTAATTGTTCTAAAACATGTCACTAAACGAACATATTCCTTTATTGTGGGAAATTTGGAGTGTTTCAAATTTTTCGCTGTTAACAACCCTGGAATCAGCATAGTTGTGAATAAATATTTGTCCAGATTTCAACTTATTTCCTTAGGATAGATTTCCAGAAGTAGAATTACCAAGTCAAAGAACGTGATTATTTTAAAGCTCTTAATATATATATCACCAAATTACTTTGCTCTCCTATTATCACTATATATAAAATGCCCATTCAACAGCAATTTTGTTAGTATAACAGGCTGATAAAAATGAAACCGTTTTACTCTAAATTTAGCTAAAGCCCTTGAGTGAGGCGTGAGACTAGATAATTGGTTTTACAACCAATTGCTGACTTCTAACCAATAAAAGGTGTCAGAGGATCTGAGAGGAGTTAAAGGTTAAAAGAATTTTGGAGAGGGGTTTTGGTGTATTATGAGTTTCCTTCACCCAGTTTGGGGAAACATACTGTGACCAGTCTTTAAATCATACTTAGAAATCTAAAGGTCGAGGCTAGCTGCTCTAAAGGTACATTTTACAAATAGAGAAACTTAGGCTTAGAAAGTTTAAGTAAATTGTCCAAGGTCATTCATAATTAAGTGATGGAGTTAGAATCGAAACCCAGACATTCTGAATCAGAGCTGGCAAATTTATCTATTCTGCAATATTTCCTTTAATTTTACTTGTGAAATCTTTCTTAACTTCATTACTATATATATGTGTTCATACTTTGACCTGAATATTTCATCTCCTAACTTGGAACTCTTTGGTAGGAAACTCCACCAATAGAACTTTGACCTTCTGGTAGCCTCCTTAAAATTACTTATGAGATCAGGTATTTGTATATAGGATCAATCTAACTTCTCTTCTCAAAATCTTTAGATTTGTTAGATAAACTTTAATTGACTTCATGTTTCCCTTTAAATAATTTTTTTTAGATTTGCAAGATGTAATGAATTGAACTGTATCTTGCAAAATTCATTTGTTTGAGTCCTAAACTCCAGTCCCTCAGAATGCGACCTTATTTGGAAAAAGGGTTATTGTATCTGTTGTTAGTGAAAATGAGGTCATTAGGATAGGCTTGAATCTGATGATTGGTGTCCTTACAAATAAAAGAAATTTGGACACAGACAAGCATAGAGGGAAGACGGGCGTAAGTTCTTCTTAGAACTTAAATATGATAGTCCCACCCGCCCCGCAAAGAAGTTGAAGCAATAGAAAATATGCTAAGAGAATTTCTAAGAGTTTCCATAAGCCAAGGAAAAGAAGTGGAGAACAGGTTTTCCCTCACCAACACCTTGGTATTAGACTTCGAGCCTTCAGAACTGTGAGATAGTAAACTTCTGTTGTTTTGGACACCTAGGTTGCTGTGCTTGGTCTCATCAGCCCTAGAAAACTAAAGCAAAGTAGTGCTGAGCAATTGAAACTTGGTTATGAAATCTTGAAGTTCAATACAGGAAGTGAAATCACCTGAGAGAAAAACAGGAAAATCCATTTCTGTTTGCACCTTCCATTATGGAATAACAGCTTTCATATATTTTTAGAATATATTTCATACTTTCAATTTGCTTTCTAATGTTATGCCTCATAGATGTTTAAATGATGACTTTCCTATATCCCTAAGTTCTAACTCCATAGGTTGATTTTCAAGACTGTTGACAATATGATCTTAATGTTTATATTTCACTGTCATTTTTCATAAAACTTGTGGTTCAGTAAAACCGAGACTCAAGTCCCAGGACAGGCTTAGGTAGTCCTGTCTTCTTTCTCTTTTAGAGTGGCCTATTCTTCATCATCACACATTGAAAAATCCAGTTAAAGTCTTCCTTCAAGGCTCAGTGGAAAAACCATCACTTCTAAGATTTTCTTTCTTTCTTTCTTTTAAATCAATGATGACTTTATTTTTATTATTTTTTTAATTTTTATTTTTCTATTAGATCTGATATTCAATATTATTTTATATTCATTTCAGGTGTAGCACCTAATGTTTAAACATTTTTATAATTTACAAAGTGATCCCCCAAATTAGTCTAATACCCTCCTTACACTATACATGATTATTATCATATTAACTATATTCCCCATGCTTTACTTCACATCTCTGTGACATTTTGTAACTACCAATTTGTACTTCTTAATCCCTTCACCTTTTTCACCCAGCCCCCCAAATACCCTACTATCTGGCAATTACTAAATTGTTCTCTATATCTGTGATTCTGTTTTTGTTTTGTTTGTTTAATTAGTTTGTTCTTTAGATTCCACATATAAATAAAATATGGCATTTGCCTTTCTCTATCTGACTTATTTCACTTAGCATAATATTCTCTAGCTCCATCCATGTCATTGTAAATGGTAAGATTTCATTTTTTATGGCTGAGTAATATTTCATTGTGTATATGTACCACTTCTTTATCCAATTATCTATTGATGGGCACTTAGATTGTTTCCATATCTTGGCTATTGTAAATAATGCTGCAATGAACATAGGGATGCATATATCTTTTCGAATGAGTGTTTTAGGGTTTTATTTATTTATTTATTCATTCATTCATTTTTATTTATTTATTTATTTATTTATTTACTTACTTACTTACTTATTTGGATAAATACCCAGAAGTGTGATTGCTGGGTCATAAAATAGTTCTATTTTTAATTTTTTGTGAAACCTCCAAACCGTTTCCCATAGTGGCTACACCAATTTGCAATCCCACCAACAGTGCACAAGGGTTCCCTTTTCTCCACATCCCCACCAACATTTGTTGATTTTTGATTTATCGATGATAGCCATTCTGACAGGTGTGACCTCCAGCCACAGGAAACTAGACTCAGACTGAGATGTAACACACTCTTGGTCTGGGTTCCCCCAGATGCAGACGCTGAGACAAATATTCAACTAAAAGTCATTTATTTCAGAGGTGATCCCAGCAAACACCCTTGAAGGAATGAGGATATGAGATAAGAATAGAAAGGAAGCCAATAAAGAATGCTTTATCAAGTTATTTCTACAGTGGAGAATCAGAATTCCTACTGGGGGACTTAGGTCTAAGAATGTAAAGTACAACCCCAGATTCACTCCCCCTAAAACAGGAAAGAAAGTTGAGATGTTTGCCCACCAATTCCCTCTCTGATATTGGTGGAGGGCTACTCTCTAGCACGGCCTCCAGGACTTCTGAATCGCCCATTATGTGGGCCAAGCAGGTGCTCATGGTCAGGAAGCCCCTCAGGCAAAGTGTCTCCAGCATTAGCAATAGGCAGTCTTCAACGTGGAGAGGCAAATGCTGAGTGGAAGCGAGGAATGCACCAACGGCTACAGAAATCGGCTACAGGCATAAAGGCATGGAGCAGTCTAACATTAACGCTGGCACACAGGAACATATTTCACTGAAGTTGTTTGAACAGGTGCTTCTCTTAATTAGATGATAAGGACAATGAATTCCATCCCAGCAAAGAAACAGGTGAATCCCTCATGTGTTAGAAAGTAACTGTTTAAATCAAAATTATATCATTTCATTAATTTTTGTTACCACATATACGTGGTGAACTGAGGCCTGAAAGTATGCATTTTTATCTATTTTATCAATTCAGAATTGTGTTTAGATTTGTGTTGATGCAAAACGAAGGCATCGTTGGAACTTCCAAAAGCAGCAACAGTGAAAAGGGGAATATTTTTAGCTGTATGTGTGATCTATTTCCTTCGCTTGCTCCATCAACTTAATAAGAATGGATGCTCTTAGGTTAGCCCAAAAAAGTCCATGTTTGCTCTTCTCCTTGGGCCATTCCAAATAGGTTCTCTGTGCCATGAGAGTTTTGAGCTTGTGATAGTTGCTAGGAATTGAATACTTTGGAATGGGTTCCAGCAAGATCAGGATCAAGTTATTAGATCCTTCATGAAAGAGATTGTGATGGGCAAAGTAGAGTTCATAATGGCACCACTCACTCTGAACAAAGTTGGGAGACAGAACAAAGATGGACTTGTAACTTTTCTCAATGCAGTTTATGATATTTTCCACAATGCTCTTGCCAGGAACAAAGTTTCTCTCATGGAGACAAATCCGTATACCTTCTTTTTCTAGGTTTGGTAGTAATTCATTCTTTACCCAGAAAGAATCGTGCTCACTATATGAAACAAAAGCGTGGAACTGGAGAGTTTTTTGGAGTTCATCTGAAGGTGTGCTCCTAGCCCTGCGCCGGGTCCGGGTCCACTGAAACGCCATCCTGAGATACCAGGGCAGATCAAAGTAGATGCAGAGGACAGTCAGAGTAACAGCCAACACCAGCCCTATGACCCCAATGGTGACAATCAGCAGAGCTGTGCTGCAGGATAACGGAGACACGTGAAAGTCCTTCAGTAGGCTTCCCTTATAGCTTTCTGGATAGTCACACTTGTAAGAGTCAGGCCAACCCTCTACCACTTCACTTGATACTTGGCCTATCCTTTGGATAAATTCTCTTAGCTCACATGTACAATGGAATGGATTGTTCCCCGCTTTTACGGACTTAACCTTCTGACAGCTCTGGAAGAAATGAGCGGATGGGTTGGAAATTGCATTATTGTCAATGATCAGTACAGAAAGGCTGCTAAAGCTACCACACCCAGGAAGGTGGGCTAAATCATTGGAAGCAATGTTGAGTTCTTGCAAATCTTCTAGACCGGCGATATCTTTAGGGATGTTCCTTATTTTGTTAGAATGAAGATCAAGAATCTTGACCCTAGGAGGTAAACATCTGAAAACAGATTCAGTAAGTATATTTGAAGATATATTTAAGCTTAATAAACTTATAGTCCAAGAGCAATATCCTTCACTTTTATCATACCCTAGAGAATTCTGGCTAATATCCAGTTGTTGTAAAGACTTCATCTTCTTGGTCATATGAGCTATATTTACAAGTTTTTTCAATTGATTCATTTGTAAACTAAGTGTCTTCAACCTTGCCAAGTTTCCACAATTGTTAAAAACCATGTCTGTTAAGAGATTATTGGAAAAATCCAAGTGCAGAAATGGGCTCATTTGGGATGGGCAAACCATGTGGAGCATGTCTGTACCAGACACGGTGAAATTCTGGATGTTCATATTTGAAAAGATCGTATAGATATAACTTTGTGGAAAATTGAATACATTATTGACAACTTGGTGTACAGACAAAGCCTTCAGTGAAGTGTTAGAATAATCAAAATCTCTGAAGTCAGGGTGACCTTGTAGTTTCACATTTGAAATTGAGAAATACTCTATGCTTGTATGCCAAACCAACTGGAGGATCATAATGAAAGAATACCAATTTGTTTCAATGTTATTTAAAGTAAGACTTGACAACCTTGAATTCTTCTGAAGTTTCGACAGAGCATTTAGGAAATAAGAACATCTATCCACTACACATTTGATATTAGATAGTTCCAGACTTACTGCAGTGCTGACTGACACATCCAAAATAAAGTGGTATTCCTTTCTTGTGGGGAAAACAATGTGCAGACTCTCTGTGTTAAGGTCCTGAAGGCTCCCAGGTTCTTCTTTTTCCCCATAAGAGTCTCCTAAGACCAGTAAAATCTTATTGACGTGCAAATGAGCAATTGGCAGCACACTAGATTTTTGTAACTGTGTGGCACTCAAACCCAGAAATTGTAGTTGAGACATGTTGCCGATTTCTTTGCATATGGGCAGGGCATCAAATGCATTAAACGAGAGGTCTAAGTGCCTGAGGTTCACAGTTGGGTGGCAAGAAATCTTCTCCAACTCATTGTGGGACAAATCCAAGTATTCCAATTCCTGGTTAAATTGGAAAACACTGATGTCAAGATAGTGGATTCTATTATGAGAAATTATCAAAATCCTCAGCTTTGACAATGATAGGATGTCAGAAGTCCGAAGCTCAGATATATAGTTTTGTGATATATTTAAGATTGTTGTTTTCAGGGATAGATCTTTGGGAACATGAATGAGACCTGTTTTTGATCTGTCAACTAAAAATTCGCTTTCATCAGATAATTGGATCATAAGTGTTAACATGAAGATGATGACAAAATGCAACACAGTAGAATTAGTTTTAGTCATTTTGTAACACTAGACATTCCTAAGGGAATATTCTATTCTTCAGAGCATCTTGGTAGAGATACAGATCCTAGAAAAAAAAAATCCACATTAAATGATTGCATTAAATTATGCATGGGCAATATTAAACCTTTCTTTGCTAGAGACTCATAAAATGAAGGCTACATTCTTTGGAGTCAAACAACCTGAAACCAGGGAAATACACATATTGATAAACAACTATACTGCCTCTAATGGTGTAATGACTTGAGTTGCACCACCTTCCCAATAGATATGTCCATTTCTCAACCATCTCCAGAAACTGTGAATGTTAACTTATTCAGAAAAATGGTCTTTGTAGAGCTAATTAAAGATCTTGAGATGAGGAGATCATACTGGATTATCCAGGTGGTTTCTAAATCCATGACAAGTATCCTTATTAAAAAAAAGAAAAGAAAAAAAAGGCAGAGGGGTATTTGACAGGGATAAAAGAGGAGACAACAGAGATACTGAGAAGTCCATATGAAGACGGAGGCAGAAGTTGGAGTGAAATAGTCAACAAGGCAAAGAATGCCAACAGCCACAGAAGCTGGAAGAGGCTCATGAGATTGTACAATCTGCTGACACCTTGATTTTGGACTTCCAGTTTCCAGAACCATGAGAAAATACATTCTTATTGTTTTAAGCCACCAAGTTTATGGGAATTTGTTACAGCAGTCCCAGAAAGCTAATACAGATGGTTTTGCATATTCACAAAGTCCTCTGACCCCAACCATCCCAAGATCGTTTAGAACTCAAGCTTGGATCCACAGCCAGTATACTTTCTACCTTTGACATACTTTTCCATGGCTTTCTCAAGAGTTCTCTTCCCATTTGGTTGAATTCAGACTCTTCTTACATCACCTTTTACTACACATAGTTTGGTGCCGAACTTTGGTCTTATTCAAAGATAATTAGATCATAATAAATGGTCTCTCAGAAAATCCATTTATATATTCATCCATTTATTTACTCAATCAGTATTTATTGATAACATGCTGGCCATCTTTTAGGACCTGGAGATAAAGTAGTGAACAAGGTAAAATCCTAATTATCTAAGAGCTTATTATCTAGTGGGAGAGAGAAAATAAACAAATAAATGCCTAAACATAAATTCATGTAGTGATAAGTGCTATACAGAAAACTAAAGCAGGGCAAATTAATTAATCAAGAATAATGGCAGGTATGTAACAGTGGTTGGTGGTGGTTTTTTCAGATTGATTAGTCATAGAAGGCTTTTGTGAAAAGTTGGCATTGGGTTAGAAACCAGAATGAAGTGAATGAATAACCTATGGGAAGATCTAGGGGGAAAGCATTTCTGGCAAAAGAAAAGGCAAGTAGAAAGGTCCTGAGATGGGAGTGAGATTAGCTTGTCTGAGGCACAATAAGGAGGTCAATGTTAGCAGGGAGTCTATGGCCATGCTACCCTGAACAAGCCCGATCCTGTCTGATCTCAGAAGCTAAGCAGGGTTGGGCCTGGCTAGTACTTGGATGGAAGACCGCTTAGGAAGACCAGGTGCTGTAGGCGTAATAATAATAATAATAATAAAATGTTAGCATGGAGTGAGCAAGGATGAGAGGAGTTAGGGCTAAGACTGTACCAGGTAGAGATTAATTCCAGGTTCTATTCTGAGAGTGATGAGGGGCTGGTGAGCACTGAAAGATTTGAGGATAGTTTTCTCTCATTCAGAAAACTTTTAAAAATTCATCAAATATGTATTTACTCCCTATGAAATGTTTTGTTCTTGGTCATGCTTTTTGCACTACTTATCAATCCACTTATACCTCAGAAGTTACCTAAGGAGAGCTACACCCCTCACCCCCCAAGAGATACTTTGAACTGATCTTTCAAGGATCTTATTCAAAATTCCCTAGAACTGCATTAGACGAGCAAGCCATCAGTATCAGCATATCCCCTCACATCTCTCAGTGGGTAGGACCTAAATACTGTCCACCCTCCTATTATCACCGGATCAAAAATACTCAAAAAATGTTACATTATTGCTGACATACTGTACAGTTAGGTCTAAGGTGGCTGCATCTGTATTGAACATGTACAGACTTTTCCCCTTATCATTATTCCCTAGATAATACAATATAACAACCATTTATACAGCATTTACATTGTATTCATATTATAACTAGAGATTATTTAAAGTATAATGGAGGATGTGCATAGCTTTCATGCAAATACTATACCATTTTATATAAGATACTTGAGCATCCAAGGATTTTGGTATCTGAGAAGGGTCCTGGAACCAATCCCCCATTGATACTGAAGGATGACTGTAATTCAAGTGCCAGAAACAACTCTGGGTTGCAAAAGTTCCCCAATTTAGATATGCAAATGAACCTAGTTTTTGAATCAAAGCTTGGACTCACCCTTTTGCAGAGGTGCCAGTGATCCCTTGTTGTCCTAATTTCTTCTGACATAGGAAAGGGCCTGGTACACCCGCTCCATCACCACTCACAAAAGGCTCTGTGCAAGAAAGAAGACACAGACATTAAAATATATATTAAAATAAGAGTAGCATTTTTATGGCATTGATTGCATTTGGTGGAAAGCCCCAGAAATTTCCCAATTCTTTCTCCCCAGTTCCTGAAAGAACTACTCACACAAAAAGTACTTAGATGAGAATCAAAATGATATCCAATTACTAGCTGGGCCAGTGCTTACTTAATACTTCTAAACAGAACTGATAAAAGCAGGTTGAAGCAAAAGTGGTTTAGGCTTAAGGCTCGAGTAGGGTTCCTTATTGATTCCTAAGCCTGGATCTAAAATTGGGGATGTTTCTACCTTCTGGCCAACTGCAGAGTTCAAGGAAGCAGCTATCAGTATAGTCAGGCATGGTCCACAGAGAGTGACCAGAGAGACAAGGGGCAGAGACAAGATCCTCTGCACTGTGAACCTACCACAGGCAAGACAAATATTGTATTCATTTCCTTAACAACAGCAACCACCATGAAGATTTAAATTTACAAAACTGTCTGTCCCCAAGCATTTAGTGAAGGCGTGGCTTCAGCTTTATATCTAGCAGAATTAATTGACTCAACTGTCTTTTATTTGCTCAACCACCGTTTTGTCCTTTCATTTATAGTCAGTTGATAAAACCATTTTTTTTCCTGTAATTATGAAGTCAAAGTATTTTTAAATTTTACATATCAAATGATAAATCAGTGAAAATCAATATTTTTAAATCAAAGTCCTAATAACCAGCACTGAATTTCATCTATATTAGAATCTTAAAACTATTTTACTACCAAATAGAGTGATTATTTGCTAAGCTGATTAGTAAAAGGATGCTTTAATTTGAAAGTATCAAAATATCTTTAGGTGTGTCTATGCCAGTTTTTGTGATTATGGTAGTTTTTCCTGCCAGTATGTGATATGATGCATCGATATGTTCGAATTGCCATTGTTTAGAGACTTGCGGGCATCAAATCAGGACTTCAACTTGTCTTAATGGATGATGCCCACTCAATCAGTCTAGCCCACTGAGTTCAGTCGGCAAATATTAAGGGAGTCGTCTCTGAATCAGGCCAACTAGTTATTAACCACATTTTGAAAAGATTGGAACAAGTTGAAAGGCTTTCCTGCTTTGTTTCCTATGTGGTTTGATGAACTTTTGCTTTCTGTGAAGACGCACTCACTTTCAACTCTCTTGATCAAATTGGGTGATGCCTGGGAAACATTTCTGGAAACTTACAATTTCACCTCACAAGTAGCACCATAGAACAGTTTCAGTGGTCTGAATAAACAGACAAGAATAGCTCATGGCACCAACTGAGAGAAGAAACTATATAAACTTGCCCATAACAACAGGAGTTGTATTATGCCAGCA